CACTACCAGTGGACGTTTTCACCTTCCATAGCCGATGCACAAGTGGCTGTGTACTTTGACAACATTGATTTAAGACGATATTATGGCGGGTAGGTATGAGTGTCTTTGCCTGTACACCTTAAAACCAAATTACTACAATACGATGTCGGATAAATATGAAAAGCTCTTCCACCATTTGAACTCATCACTATTAGATGAGTTTGGGAGTTACGTGCCTGCTCGGTGATTTGAGAGGGGCCTGGCACATAGAATAGAATAGTAGAATAGAATAATGTATTTAATGTGAAATAACACAGGGAGTGGTCGCCCAATCTCCCGAGCCAGAGGCTCATGTTAAAAAGTGCTTGACAAGAACAACAACAAAAATGTATACGATAAGAATTTAAAATCTACACACAATAAATAATAAGAGCTATATTAAATTCATAATAATCTATATAGATTTATATATTTATATTTATCGAAAAACTATTTTAAAACCCTAATCCTAGAAAATTCATAAAATCTAGATCGAAATATAAAAGGGAGAAAAAATATTTAAAGACATTTGTGGCATTGGCATCCAACTAGGTTAGATTTATTGATATACTTTCGAGAAATAGAAACTGATTTAGCCGACTTAGTTGCAACGGGTAGCTGATTCCAAATACGAGAGATAATGTGGGAAAAGGAGTTATGTAAATATTGACTATTATAAGAGTACTGTACAACGTTACTGCTACCCCTAAGATTATATGAAATTTCGCGCGGCTAGAAAAAATTAGAAATATACGCTGGCCCATTTTGTTTTACGCATTTAAAAAATGTAACTAATGATTACTCTAGTCGCCTATGTTCTAATTTGCGCATGGAGGCAAGTTTGAGTACTGCCACATAATCTACATTATTGCCCAGATTCAGTAAGGTTCTAAGACCATAATATTTAGCATATTCTAGTTTCTTGCTAAGAGTTCTACCAATGCCTAGTAATATTGGACTACAATATTCAAGATGAGGTAGTACATATGCATTATACAATTTCAGCAAAACGTCAGCGGGCGCTAGACGCTTAAGGCGACGCAGGGCTGCGGTCTTAGCATACGCTTTTTTCAATATTTCATCTACATGTGATTGAAATGACAAACGATTATCTAATGTTACACCTAGGATTCTTAGACTGTTCTGGACTTAGTTTCTAACATATCATTAGATAACTTTAGCGCATAATCATAACTAGACTGTCCAAGAACCATTGTTTGCGTTTTGTCACTGTTTATGTATAGAAAGTTACAATTGAGCCAATCGGACAACTTGATAATGTCCTGGTTGAGGGAGTACTCTAGGACAGCTGGACATACATCAGATCCGTATTGTGTAGTAAAGTATTGTATCCGCGTAAAGGCGTAAGGATGACTTTATATCAATGTCGTTGAAATCATTCATGAAGATATTAAACAAAAGAGGACTTAGTAGACTTCCCTGAGGTACTCCGCAGCGGAGAGGCAACCAATCTGAGTAAACTCCATTTCATTTGACCCTTTGTTTGCATCCATCGGGTCCACAAGCTTTCTTTCCATTCAATTTCAGTAGTAGATCTGCAATAGTTCCACTATCGATTTGTTGAAATGAAAAATCAAGTTGATAAGATTTCCTTCTAATTGCTTTTATGATTTTGACAAAGCCCCGTCATTAATTTTAGGATCTGTAAAGAAGTCGTTGAAGATTGAACTTGGTTCAGCCGCGATCTTCCCATCATCGATAAGATGTATATTACTTTCTGTCGTACCTTTTCCGTTTGGTAGTAAAGGTTTCATTTTTTTTCAAAAACGACCAACAGAATGTCCAGATGATGATAAGGAGGTTGCATCTAGACAAAAATCTTTCACCGCATTTCTTTTTAATGCTGTAACTATATTTTGTAATTAGACCAATTTGCATCTGTTATATCTCGCCGGAATTTCTTGTAAAGGCGGTTTCTTAAGCGTATTTGTTTCTTGATGTTAGGGTTAATCCATGGCAATTGATTGTCCCGTAATCTTATTCGATGTACTGGTGCATGAGTGTCAAGGACTTGTTTATACAGACTTGAATAGTGTGACCAAATATCATCGGCGCTATCATAGACGTAAGAGCTGTCCCAGGGGACATTTTTGAGATCAGAAARAAAGGCTCCCTGATCAAAGTTCTTTAATGATCTAAATTCAATTGTTCTCGCTTTAGGTTTAGGAAGCCTTTGTTTTCTCACCATGAACACTAAGTCGTGGTCACTAATTCCCAATTGTAAAGTTCCACTGATTACATGCCTTTCAGGAGCGGTAGCAGGCGCATATCAAAAACCAGTTATTTCCACAGCCTTTAACATCAAAGCACTTAGATTCTATTCCTTCGGGTTCAAGCTTTACTTGGCGACGTGCTATAATAGCTGATTGTATATAAACAAGTAAACCACCAGCGCCTTTTTTCCTGTCCTGACGGATGATACGATAGTGAGCTAGGAACAGAACCATCGATTTTACTTTCACTTACGAAGAAAATATCAAATGCACAGCGATTGAGTAGGTTTATGACTTCGTCTGGTTTATTCAAAGATGCTATTTATATTCAGATGACCAATCTTTAAATTGTTCTTGTAATAGCCGTTGATATTCGCGGTAAACCACTCGATAGGAGATTGTGTCAATGAGTCCAAATCGCTATTTGTAGAACCATCAATCAATAGAGAGTTATCCATTTAGAATTCAGCAAGGAGCTCATCTGTAGATAGCRTTGAAAACGGTAAAACTGATAAATAACAGGCTGTACATTTCCATTGTGCAGATGTTCCTGACTCGGTAAAGTTTTTGCATTGTTTAACTGTTATTCTACCACATTTGATGTGGAAATTACCACTACAAGAAGAACAACATATCGCTCGATGGTTGATGGCAGTCGGAGTTGTACAGTCGGGACATTTCGCCCGGTTATTATCACTAGGATTTCTCTCCACATCGCCAGCAATCAACAGGAGAATACCATGGACAGCTACGGAATTTGAATAGTATTTAATTTTTCGTGGAAGGAACTTTCTTTGCCATACACGAAGGGTAAACGTTGACATCGACGTAGTACCAAGATGGCCAGCATCTTCCCACGGAATGTCAAGAGATAAAGGCAAAACCATCAACTGCCGTTACAAGAATAAAATCGAGGCCAGTATAAGTAAGACCCATGATTAGAACTTCGATAGGAATGATTTCTTTTGCAATTATTCGAGCCATTAATCAAAAAAAGGTACAATAATACGGAGCTCAGAAAACGTGGCCGAAAGCCATTTTAACGGTCATCATAAAATCGCGGTAACCATGGCAACTATGTCACAACTCACTTTGAACCTGTCACACTAACGCCCTGGTCAGTGGAATACTTACCTATAAATACCTACCATAGGGAGGGAAGGCGGGAAAAAAACTAAATAGCGTTTAGCGTGTGGTCGCCAGAGGCTAGCGATAGCGAATATCGTAATGCAAACGATTCTGGAAGAATCTCAGGTCAAGCTAGCCCGATCACATGGATAGCGTGCGATCAAGTTGACACATTAGCAATAAATAGCGTTGATCGATATCGCGGTAATTACCAATCAAATAGCTCGGCGCTGCTGATGACCAAAGATAATGCTAGCGTAATCACCAGAATAGCGTGTGATTGTAATAGCGTGTGTTTAACGTATATAGGTGGGTCGAGCCTAACTTTGCCTAAATTTCATTTAACCACATTAAATCTCGCCTGACTTGTCTGTGTTTTTGCAAAAAACTGTTTCACAGATTGAGCAAGATAACCGTTGTAGATTCAAGGAACACTAGTTTTCTTAGTGTGCAAAACCAGAGGCACCATCCAGTTGGG